TATCAAATATCAGGAATCCAGATTATATCTGAATCATAACGAACAGAAAAAAATAAATTGATATTCTGTATGTACAACGAAACAGCCTCCCTGGTTAAATAGCTTGCGGGTATTCTAACAGGTCCCAAGCCCGGGTAAAGGAGGGTTGGGCGTGGAGCTAGCAACCCCGCACAACAAAACTAATCAGACTGCTACAGAATATTCAACGCACAAGAAATAAAATACAAATAATTTAAAACACAAACTTATTCTTCACTGGAATCAGAGAGGCGAAATGACGCGGGTTAGTGAAAGCCTTCGGGAAGCTAGTCAGCCGATGTGTCTCCTCTCGACGAAAGCCAAAATAAGAATGGGGACGTGGAATGTTCCTGCAATGTACGAGACCGGGAAAACTGCCCAGGTAGCCAAAGAAATCCGAAGATGTGACATAGAAGTGATGGGTATCTGCGAGAGCAAATGCAATGGATGTGGATTATCAAAATTATCAACTGGTGATTCAGTAATCTACTCTAGTCACCCAGACGACAACCACCAGCACACTGAGACAGTGGCTAACACGATGTCACCAGTGGCAGCCAAAGCCCTGATACCCGTCGAGGAAGGAGATGGCTAGGCATACATAACACATATCCTAACCATCTCAGTCGATGTAACTTCACAGCCTCGTCGATTGATTTCCCCTCCTTACCTAGCACTCGACGCTTAACCTCAATATTGCTCACCTTGTTATACCACTTCACACGGGAGGTAGAACGCAGGCACCTATGATCAAAGACAGCTAGCGAGCTTTTTCATGTCTTCCACTTTCAACGGCCAGGTCTCACAGTCATAAAGGAGGACGGAGTGGACTGCTGAGCAGTACACACGCCCTTTGGTCGATAGCCGGATATCACGTCTACACCAGAGACGGTGTAAACTGGCATATGCCGAACGAGCCTTCTATATCCGTGCTGAGATTTCGTCAGCGATCAACCTGCTGGCACTGGCTGATGCAACTTCCCAAATAAGTGAAGTGGTCAACGCGCTCTACCATTTTACTCCGTATTTCTAAGCTAGGAGTCAATGTAGTCCAGTCCTGTAGCATCACCTAACATTTGGCGGTAGCGAATCGCATGCCAAACATTCGCAGATTGCAGCTCTAGGTGTTCAGAGCACTCTGCATTTTGTCAGCGTCTTCACCTGAATATTCTAAGTCAACGAGATTTTTCCTTAGTAAGAAGTCAATCCCTGAGTTGCTGAAATGAGTTAGGGTTAATTACATTAATACATCTATTATGAAATCGAATAGAAATGGAGATAGTGGGCATCCCTGTCGGACACCACTAGTTGTCACCACTTCAGATGGCAACTTGCCGTAAGCTCTTACCTGGCTGCATGAGTTCGAGTAGAGTGCCTTGGTCAGTGCAATTTATTCTCTTGACATTCCCTTCACTGCTAAACATCACCATAGTACCTCTCGGTCGACGAAATCAAATGATGCTTTCAGGTCAAGAAGTATGATGATTGCTGGATGCCAGTAAGTATGCCTATGTTCCGTTTCAGAATCTGTCGAAGATTTGAGCGATACACCCTCTTCCTGGTCTGAAGCCTGCCTGGTTCTCGTGTTTGTGCCTCCCGAGCACCACTTAGCCTACGCATTATTATTGAGCCTAGAACTTTAGATGCCGTATTAGTCAAGCTAATCCCCCTGTGATTATCACAGGAAGACTTATCTCCCTTCTTGTATATCGGGATAATCAACGATTTACACCAACCCAACGGGACTTCCTCTGATTCCCAGACGCTGCCTAGTACCTTAGTTAACGCATATAGTAAACTGCCTCCACCATCCTTAAACACCTCTGGAGTCAATCCATCAGGTCCCGCAGCTTTGCCTCGTTTCAGACTAGTGACAGCTTTAGTAGCCTCAGTTAGGGACCGAGGACCTGTTTCCACATCCCATTCAGGGAAGTGTTGGATGTTCGGTAGGTTGGGCGTCGCTGTAGGTAGGCCAGTTGAATCGATCCTCAAAGTGTTCTTTCCAGCGTTCTAGTCGTCTATCCTGGGAGCTAATTACGGTTTAGCGGTGAATAATTCCCCAAAATTATTGGCCACAGCATTCATCACTGAACACTGGATGCTGACACTCACTGTTTAAGTCAACTTGTTTAGCTGAAGGCTTCCGGTCAAGCATACACGCCATTTGGTACTCCGTCGTGTCACGTTCGTTCGCTCGTGCACGATCACTGGCTAGCTAAGCAATCATCTCGCACTCCGATTTGGTCCCGAAATATATCTCTTAATTTGGAAGATCAATTATTGTGTTTTGCTTTGCCTTTGGTCTACGCGGAACGAATACTATGGAAGTTGTGAGTATTAGATCTTGCGTTAGTATACTTCGTACTATCCATGAACGTCAATACTTTCAGCTTCTAAACTGGTGAGCAATTCCGCGAACTTCATCTTTGGTATATACAAAGACAAATCTGCTGAGTTCGTTCCATTTTGCTTTTAAACTTTATATATTCCGCCATGAGTGATCATACTCCTAAGGTCATCTCTACTCGATTTACTACCGAAACCACTCAACTCGTGGCACTTTAGCCAGATAATGCGGAATCATGGTTTTGGATAGCTGAGTCTGGTTTCAGTGAACATTGGAACACTAACCAACGTTCACAGTTCATTGTAGTTGTCCACGCTCAACCTTAGGAATTAGGCAAATGTGCATATGTCGAGCCCAGAGGTAAGTAACTTGTATGAGTTTCTTAAAGCAACCCTCCTAAGGAGAAACGTTCTCACGGTCCAACAGCGTCTGGACGAATTATTTCGCAACATCGAGTAAGGTGATCGGCCAGCCGTGAGTATGATAACAAGAATGAGGGAAGTTATTGGCCAACGTCAGTTTGATGAAGGACTTTTCAGAGACCTTTTCTTATCCAAACTGCCACAGTCAATACAGGCTGTGCCGGTGACACTTCAGGGTGTTATTATAGATGACTAAGCTGTTTCTGCGAATACAATTCTAGGGTATAATCGTAGTCTAATCGCTGTCCTAACAAACCTCCTGGCATGGTAGGGCCTGCAGGAACAATAATTTCTACCAATGTAAAATGGTGTCACTGAGCTCGGAGATTGCGTCACTTATCGTTTGCCTTTCACCACCTGTTTATCTGATAAACCTGAATAGTTTTCTGGTATTATTAATCGCCGATGCCTTTTCCATCTCAATCGCTTTTGTCGCCCTCACTTTTCACAGTGGTTGCGAAGGCTTCTTGTTAGTTTTCATTTGAGTGGCTTTCACTCTTCATCATAATCGGAGCTCGCCAGCATCAGTTTCCTTGCGGCAATAAGTTCGAATGAGGTGGTAGAAATCCAACGGCTCTAACTAACTTTAGGTTTCATATTATTACAAGGTTTTACAACGTGTCTACGGCTGACAGTATGTTGTGCCAGGCTTCTTCAGGATTAGCCCTGCTGTCGACCTCAGATACTCGTTTCACTATTTCTCCGTTAAATCGGGACCCAGAGTTTCTATCTAGTTTTAGTGAAGCAGAAATGCTTTCAGTATTCAAAACTGCGGACAAAAATAAATCTGGCCGGATCGATACTTATGAATTGCAGAACTTCTTAAAATGTCGAAAGAATGCTGTTTCCATGGCAGTCTGTTCGAAATGGATAATTCAGAATGACAGAAATGGTGATGGAAAGTTGGACTATGAGGAGTTTCTGAGTTTTATTCGGTCAATGCTTTGAAAGAAAGCCTTCAATCATTTTCTTGTGTTTAAATACTATTGGTGCTTACAGTGTGACACCAGCTTATCAGTAGAAAAATTTATTAAATCCTATTTATTTGTTTTTCAAAGTCCACAGACGAAGATGTAATGTATGAGTTAGCCCTTAAAGATACACGAAGGTAATACTGGTCAAGAATTTCCTGATGACTAGTGCTTTATGTTCAAATTTTGAAAATATTTGTATACAATACGAAAGTTCGAGCAAATGCGTCCAGCGTTTACTAGTTCTAAAATGTTAATCGATAATAAACAAAAGCCAATAGCGAGTGAAGTTCAACAGTTTCGACTTGATAATAAATATCATGAATTCAGATTAAAGCTAAATTATTACGAACAGAAAAATAAATTCATATTCTGCATGTACAGCGAAATAAGCACCAAAAGCACAGCGTGCATCATGCATATTACAAAACGGCCGTTTAGTGCATTTCAGCCATATGATACACACAACTCAGAGAGCTGGTGAGTAATTTCAGGAGTGATTGCCATCTTTTGATTTTGTTGTCCTTCACTTTCTTATTATATGGATAGCAACATAGATTCGAGTGAAATTTTTGTTTCTGTCGCCAAAAGACGACACTCCTTTTTGACCTCATTTTAAATAAATTGCTCATTATCCTACACATAAACAAGATTGCGAAGACACTCAAGATCGACAAGCTCTGACTTTTACATATTCCACCCCCGTACACTAGAATCGAGCAACTATGTGTGGAGTAGGTTGCCAGTTACCTGACTTCACTCTAGTTGACAGGTAGTCGTTTGTGTCGTTATTATCAACGGAACAGTTAGATTAGGTCAATTTCAGAAATGTTTGGCAGGATAAGGGTGTTTAATAACTTCGATTCGTACACATATATGATTAATATCTGTGTAGATTGATTCTGAAGGATTCCCTTACGCTGAGTAGATACGAAACTGTGTCAAATATTCCTTTACCTCAGTTTTCAGTGTTTTCATCAACTAGGAGTATATTGCATGTAAGTAGGCTGATTTCTTCAGGAACAAGTCCTATGTTATGGAAATTCGAGAGCCAGTGAAGTGATTCGCACTCACAGCATATTCAACTACAAATAGCATTCCATATTTCCTACGCCTTACATGTAATTACTAGTCTGTAGTTTGAACAACAGTACTAGTTTGCCATAAGAAAAAATTAATTTTCTTTACAAGGATCTTGTTTTCACTAAGAATACTTCACCTGCTCAAGGTGACAGTCTAAGAGATATGAATTACGAGATGCTAAGAAACCCATAATAATGTACGGAAGATGTGTCTCCTGAGGGTTGTGTACATGGTCAAAAAGACCCACCAAAAATAAATGATAACTGTGAGACTCTAATACTTTAGCCATGCTTCTAAAGAATACAGCCAAATTTACTTTGGCTAAGTTTTGCTGTAATCTCGTCAGAAGAAATATTTCTCTCACTGCAGATATCTCTTGTTAGCTGTCTAAGCAGTCAATAGATGTATAGAAGACATTTCGGCTCCGAAACACCATACCATCCTCCTAAATGTACTATTAAAGGGATTCCTCTGATGATCCTCGGTCATATGCAATCAATCTTCTAACTCCCACAGCTCGCTGAAACAAACTTTTTACTTTAGTCATGATGCAGTTAATTCAAAGAATCGAAGGTTCCTATGGTAACAATGACCAGTTAAAAAAATCAGCAGTTTAAAAACAAAGATTATTGATGAATAGAAATACATACATATATAATGGCAGCAAGCTCTTGCAACTTTTGGGTTTTAGCGCTTGTCCCAGGCACAACGTAGCTATGCATCTTACTTCCGGGGTTATAACTTTCATTTTCTGTTGTTTTACATTCATTGCCATATACAGTAAATTGAGTACCTAAAAAGTTAGAGCGCAGTTTGCCAGCTAAACACTTTGCACCCCGTGATAAATTGGTGACATCACACGATATCACATAGTTGCTAGTTGTCGATCGTTTACGGCGTCTAGCTGCCAACAAGAAAAACTTACGATCTTCCCTTTCGAGATGGAGGTAATACGAAGGATAAATGCCACCATCGACACCTCGTTTGTCTCGAGTTATACAACAATGCATCGTAACACCCTATAAAATTTAAAAATCAAATCAAAAATAAGGTTATGTGATTGTTAGCACTTTAGAATGAATTTTATGTCCAAAGACGAAATCTCTAGATAACATGAGAACTTTTATAGTTTCAATGAAATCGAAGGCTTCGTTTAATGGGACGAGGATTATTTAGGAATAGAACTTGGACACTGGTGGTATAGAATAATCAGGTCAACAGAAGCTTTAAACGGACAGTCTCTAAGTAAGTTTGTACGTCTAAATGTCTTCTGTTAGCCCAGTCAGACAAAATGCTACAGTTTATAGGATACCATGAATCTGAATTCAAGCACGTAGGTCAAAGAAGCTGATTGGTCGCTATAAAATTATCAAAATACAGAAGCTTAACCAAATATACAATGACGAATTCAGCTATGAGAAAAGGACGTAAACAGCGAAGAAAATTTTCTTTCTGACAACTCATTTTCATAGGTTGTACAGTCGTAATTATATTTAACAGAAAATTATAAGACCAATCAGATACTGGTAAAATTTGTTCTCGAAAAACGTATTGCGTAATGTAAGGTGTAACCTAGAACGGGTGACTAATTGGAAGTTAGAAAAGAGGCAGAATTTGGCATGACGTAATAAGTCTGAGATAATGACTGATCAATAAGATTGTGTAGAATGAACAGGAACTAGTGGAAAGGCGATAAAGTGTTTTTGTATAAAATTTGTATGAAAACGCAGTTATGAAAAATAATAACACCAAAACCAAAGCACTAGAAACAAGAGAAATGCAAAAGGTTGATAAATGAAAAGGGAGCTTTGACTACACTTTTGGAAACCTGCGTAAAAGTCGTGCAACTAAGAAGTTCGATAATCTAAGAGTTGAATATGGTATATCCCACATAGATTACTGTCGACTGTCTCCATTTCATCATTGGATATGTGTTAAACCATGTAATACAACCGACCTTATGGCACGGAATTCTACCTAAAACTAACAGCATTAATTTTCCAACATTATGTATCCTAAAGACGGAGGCAAGCATACTTCAACTAGTCAAAGTGGACTTCAACTTTAGAACTTGTAAGTATTTAATAAACGATGAAGACTGATACTAAAAACACTGACTATAAGCTTACAGAAGTTGGAAAAGTCGGAAATAAAGTCACTGAATCACAAAATTTAAGGAGAAGAAGTGAAACTCATGTTTGCAGACTGACTAATTTAATTTACTGAGTATTCGCTCGTTTATACTATGTAAGTCGATAAATAATACAAATACACCGGTTCACAGAAGGATACCTATAATCTAATTACACTGCCGTTTAAATAAATGTTTATCCGACATTGGAGTGTGATGCTAGTGTATAGCACCAAAAGAGTACACATCTCCAAATAGAATACTATAAAACATATTCCTATCAATAAGAAAATCCGGTAATCAAAGTAATCTATTCGTAATAATTAAATACACTTACCTGCGGAGCAGGTTTCAGGATAAGTCCATCCAAGTCCCCAGTTGAATCGAAAGCTAAAGGCTGGATTAATTCATGGAACTCTACATCTTCACGTCTCTGAATGATGTTCATTTAAAAAGAAACAAACAATCATATATTCAATATCTTCAAAGTGTATATCACCAGAGCATAGCAGATAATAATGAACAGTTGACCTGTGAGTAATCAGTACATAAAACCATAAATTTCACCAACTAAATAGCCAGATTTATTTTCCTTTGTGTGGTCAATGCAGACTCCTGGTTTTCATTTGTTTCTAGTTTTCGTTTCTTTCATAGAAGCATACTATTCTTTTCAAATCGGACAGTTTAGATTTCTTTTTCGTTAATATAATGTCAAGGATAACCTGTTTGTTTGTTTACATTTTTACACTGCGTTAAGAAGCATAATAGTATCGGCGACCATCAATTTTAATTGATTAAAGATACCCATTATAAATTTCAAAGAAATTGATCAGTGAACAAAGAATTTATTGAATTTTCTTCTCTGATCACGTAACCATTAGGGTGTTTAGACGTTCATTTTCATAGGAAAGTTGATTCATTTGTCTATGACTAAGAATAATCAAACATCTCAAATAGTTTCAATAAAACGCTTCTTTATACACCCTTATGTAAAATACCTCGGAAAAGATTAACGCCTTTCCATGTGAATGTACATAGACTACTTAGTCACATACTAATTATGGATCTCCAGATGCTGGCGAATAATTACAAATTTACACTTGTGATTCACGTTTAACCACCAAAATTGCGAAAACTATTCAAAAAGGTGGGAATGTTTTCCTAACCTACCAATTCTTTCATAAAGCTAAATCAATTTTAGTCTGATCGAAATTGGAAAAGAAACAGTGTCATGATTCAGTTGCTTACAAAATTTATTAATACTGTAGCTGCAGAACGCAGTAATACTTGGGGGCAGAATTATTTATCTGGCAAACGATATACAACGATGGTAAAATACAGAAAGGCTACATTGAAATTTCCACCTGCACAGGCGTTTTGTGTCCTGCTTCTCTCATTTGCGTGATGTGCTTCCTATGTTTTTCCATAAAGATTTGTAGCGTTAAATAATTCCCCAAAATTATTGGCCACAGCATTCATCACTGAACACTGGATGCTGACACTCACTGTTTAAGTCAACTTGTTTAGCTGAAGGCTTCCGGTCAAGCATACACGCCATTTGGTACTCCGTCGTGTCACGTTCGTTCGCTCGTGCACGATCACTGGCTAGCTAAGCAATCATCTCGCACTCCGATTTGGTCCCGAAACATATCTCTTAATTTGGAAGATCAATTATTGTGTTTTGCTTTGCCTTTGGTCTACGCGGAACGAATACTATGGAAGTTGTGAGTATTAGATCTTGCGTTAGTATACTTCGTACTATCCGTGAACGTCAATACCGTCAGCCTCTAAAGATCTATCATTTGCCCTCTTTTCTCAACTTAATCCATCAATCCACCATCCAAGATTACTGGAGGAAACAACGCACAGTATACTGTTGATAAATTCTTATCAATACCACACTCCATACTACTACTACTTTCAAGTTAATTTAAAATCAAAAGCAATATTCGCTTAGGATAGCAATCTAATCAATGTAGTCGTGAACTCTTATCGATTAACTTGATTGGATCATGGTTACCCTGTGTTCAGCTTAGCATTGTTGGCCTAATTACACTTACGTTCACTGATGCCCAATCGATTATTCCCTCTGTCTGTTCGTCTTTCAGGCTTCACCTAGTTTACTAGCCCGTTCTAAGCCAAAGCAGAAGTGACCAAACGCGAACTGAGAGCTACAGCAAAACCTAATCTGAGGAAGTCTAGCACCATATCCATTCCGCTACAGAAACAGTAGTAAAGACTGTTGATGATCTGCAACCAAAGGTAATTAAATGTTAGTAGATTCCTGTTACATCAATTCAAAACAATAGATGCAAGAAAATTGACTCCAGCTGACTCGGAAAATGACAAGAGGCAAAAGCTGTTAAAATGCAAGCTGATTAAAATTAAAAAAGAAACAGTATTACAATTTAATTTTTCAGAAACTTTACTATTCTGAAATGACAGAAAACAAAGGTGCTTGTCCGTGTTTTTACAATGAATTATCGCTAACTTCCTCTTCTGCATCATACATCTGACTATTTGATAAGAATGGCACAGTTAGAGGAGGTGACTTTTACCAAGTAGATAGAGAAAAGCACTAATAAGTAAAACCAGTTAAAACTGATTGAGGACAGAAGTACAGAAATTGATAACCGAAGATGCTGCTGTGTACTACTGAGGAAGTTATGAAGAGAAGAATACCTGATAGAATTCGACACAAGAAAAATCAGAAAACAAACAGCATAGTGTGAGAGGCTGAATACAAATACAGCATGAAGACGAAAACGACTGGTCTGAACAAAGTGAATATTCAATGTAAGTCTGTCACGTTCCTTATCACTACTAAAGCCACTTTCCATATTATTAATGTGGCCAAGGCTATCTCAAGTTCGACGTAGCACTGGTGCCCGACACTCACGATATTTCTTAGCTTGAAGAAGACACTTGATTCCGTTGATAGATGAGTGTCTTAATGTAGAGCTGTGAAATGTTACTCAAGAAAGCAGAAATATGAAAAACCACAGATCTAACTGAGGATGCCTTCACATAGTGAGTAATATTCAGGTCTTCCGTAAAGGGTTAACTTTATTCATGAGAATTTTAATCTTCGTCTATTGGATGTTCAGATTATGTATATTGACGTCTCCATGGATAAAGTTATCGTACATCTGTTTCGCTACTTACTGTCGCTATCATTGGACATTAAAATCCTTATAGTTGACAAATTTCGAGTCAGCTTAAGATCGAAAGGAATTGAAAGTCCTCAATACTTGCACAGTAAAGATCGTATTTTCTGTAGAGTCTATTGAAACACAAACCCCTAATATAGAAATGTCCTGCCATACCGAGGGGAAAAGATACTTGGATGACGCATAGTCACACTGTTATGAAGTTAGTGATTATTGTCTTCATAACCTGGGATATTGTGATGAAATACATTTGCACTTAGAATACGTCACAATTTTCTGAGGATAAAACAATTTGTTCTGGTTTCCACAACAAATAGATATTTTACAAGTTAGGAAAATTATTTGAATAGCTATGTAAGTGGAAGTACAGTGGAAAATTTTACCTTGATATTTAAGGAATTCTGAGATTTTGCAACATCGCATGTGTCAGAGTGATTATTTGTAGGATTTAAAACCACCCTTCTGGAACCATCTTCGCACAACTCATACGAATTTTCAATGGTAGTTGAGACCAGTTCCATACTCATTTCTTTGTCACCACTGGAACTATTAATCTGAGACACAATCTTCGGGGAATTAATACGTGAACACGTTTCACCCCAGGAACAGTGGATAACTGTTGGAGCAAGAGATTTCTCATCATATGAAGAGGTCTTTAAATCACAGATTGAGTCCAGACTCTGGAAAACAAAATAATATTGAAGTGCAATATATAATCTACCCATTATAAACTGAAAACTACCCAGATATTCAATTCACGTTCTTTAAAGCCAGAAATAAAAGTCCTTACTACTGGCCATGAATATAAGGAAACGTCATCAGTTGATATTACTGTGCAACACTGTGTGATTTATCGAAATAAATTCTAATCTATAATAGAGTTATACTCTACCACAGTGCCCAAGTTTTATACTTATATCAATAAAACAATATTGTCCCTATTTCGCTCAAACTTCTGTTTAGCTTAGCAATCGACTATCATACTAATATCGTTAAGATGCGTCAATCATTATAACATGCCATCAACAACGACATACATTTTTGGTTAAACATGGATCAACAATTAGTTATGACTAGTATCTTTACTCTACAACCAAAAAATATGCTGTGGTGGATAGAATAACATATCGTAATTTTAATAAAGCCTTGTAAAACAATTTCACGAAGCATGAATATGTTCATATATGGAATAATACATAATGAAATGCTGAATGGGTTCATAACTAAGATAACACGTTCGGCTTAGTAAAGCAAGATTGTAGAGAAAATGCCTTCTGCACATAGGTTTGTGAGAAACATATGGATGACTGTTACTTGTGAATACGGTATCAGATTTCAGGTGTAATATTGCCTTGTTCATCTACTGTTTGATTGATTCTTCAGAAAGGCAGAGTAAGTGTACCATGGTGACCTAAGAAATAATGAAAGCCAGTAGGTGACAAAAGATTACTGTGTTGTTACCATTAAAAAAAATAAAAACTATACATACATATATGGCGCAAAATCAACAGTTTACCTTGATCGCTTGCGAATAACTACATACAGTACCACGTCTGAGTGATTGTTCGTTGTTACACTGAACAACATTCGTGTCTAATTTCCGGTTGGCTACGCAATGACACACATTGGAATCGTCACATAAACATCGTATGTGTTCCTGATCAATGAAGCAAGAGGACCTATCATTCCAAGTATTCGCTGGCTGCCCCTCAATTTCATTGTCACTTTCTTCTACAGGACAGAGGAATGATATAACATTAAAAATATTCGATAAATTTATTAGGAATTAAAGTCACTGAAATACGATTGGACGCAAAGATTACCTCCTAAACTGCTGGGAAACAACATACTGAATTACAAACAAATCAATAAAATATCTGTAATCATAAGTGAAACAACAATCAAGAAGCACGAAGCTCCGATAACTTGTTGCTAGCTAAGGATGGCACTTCCGACAAAACACTATGAGGGGCAATTCAAATAGCTTACAGCGGTCCTACAGTTGCACATCACACAACCCCCACCTTAATAGAGTGAAGCCATACACAATCAATTTTAACTGAGGTTGAATCATCTGTCTGCAATCTGAAACGAGATATATAATCAGGAACTTACGACAAAATTCTATAAGTGTACAAGTACGTCGAATTATTGACTACATTAACTAAGTTACTAGCCAGCGTAAGTATGCTAGTCCAAGTTAGTTCCGTCGAACTTCTCTTGATCGTTGATTGTCCCAGTTTATAAGAAAGAAGACAAGCCTTACCGAGGTAATCCAATGAGGATCAGCTAATCAAGGCACTCTACTCGAGATAGTACAGGTGAGTAAAAGCAGATGGACATTTGTCATATAAAATGATCACTACCAGTTGTTCATAACCTCGCCTAGTTAACTAGCTTGCTAGTTTTCTAGGAGGTCTCAGTGTGGCAACTCGAACTACTGCCCATCGATGCAAAGTTCTATGTTGAAACCAGTCAGTCAGCCAGCAGGTCCCAAGCCCGGGTAAAGGAGGGTTGGGCGTGGAGCTAGCAACCCCGCACAACAAAACTAATCAGACTGCTACAGAATATTCAACGCACGAGAAATAAAATACAAATAATTTAAAACACAAACTTATTCTTCACTGGAATCAGAGAGGCGAAATGACGCGGGTTAGTGAAAGCCTTCGGGAAGCTAGTCAGCCGATGTGTCTCCTCTCGACGAAAGCCAAAATAAGAATGGGGACGTGGAATGTTCCTGCAATGTACGAGACCGGGAAAACTGCCCAGGTAGCCAAAGAAATCCGAAGATGTGACATAGAAGTGATGGGTATCTGCGAGAGCAAATGCAATGGATGTGGATTATCAAAATTATCAACTGGTGATTCAGTAATCTACTCTAGTCACCCAGACGACAACCACCAGCACACTGAGACAGTGGCTAACACGATGTCACCAGTGGCAGCCAAAGCCCTGATACCCGTCGAGGAAGGAGATGGCTAGGCATACATAACACATATCCTAACCATCTCAGTCGATGTAACTTCACAGCCTCGTCGATTGATTTCCCCTCCTTACCTAGCACTCGACGCTTAACCTCAATATTGCTCACCTTGTTATACCACTTCACACGGGAGGTAGAACGCAGGCACCTATGATCAAAGACAGCTAGCGAGCTTTTTCATGTCTTCCACTTTCAACGGCCAGGTCTCACAGTCATAAAGGAGGACGGAGTGGACTGCTGAGCAGTACACACGCCCTTTGGTCGATAGCCGGATATCACGTCTACACCAGAGACGGTGTAAACTGGCATATGCCGAACGAGCCTTCTATATCCGTGCTGAGATTTCGTCAGCGATCAACCTGCTGGCACTGGCTGATGCAACTTCCCAAATAAGTGAAGTGGTCAACGCGCTCTACCATTTTACTCCGTATTTCTAAGCTAGGAGTCAATGTAGTCCAGTCCTGTAGCATCACCTAACATTTGGCGGTAGCGAATCGCATGCCAAACATTCGCAGATTGCAGCTCTAGGTGTTCAGAGCACTCTGCATTTTGTCAGCGTCTTCACCTGAATATTCTAAGTCAACGAGATTTTTCCTTAGTAAGAAGTCAATCCCTGAGTTGCTGAAATAAGTTAGGGTTAATTACATTAATACATCTATTATGAAATCGAATAGAAATGGAGATAGTGGGCATCCCTGTCGGACACCACTAGTTGTCACCACTTCAGATGGCAACTTGCCGTAAGCTCTTACCTGGCTGCATGAGTTCGAGTAGAGTGCCTTGGTCAGTGCAATTTATTCTCTTGACATTCCCTTCACTGCTAAACATCACCATAGTACCTCTCGGTCGACGAAATCAAATGATGCTTTCAGGTCAAGAAGTATGATGATTGCTGGATGCCAGTAAGTATGCCTATGTTCCGTTTCAGAATCTGTCGAAGATTTGAGCGATACACCCTCTTCCTGGTCTGAAGCCTGCCTGGTTCTCGTGTTTGTGCCTCCCGAGCACCACTTAGTCTACGCATTATTATTGAGCCTAGAACTTTAGATGCCGTATTAGTCAAGCTAATCCCCCTGTGATTATCACAGGAAGACTTATCTCCCTTCTTGTATATCGGGATAATCAACGATTTACACCAACCCAACGGGACTTCCTCTGATTCCCAGACGCTGCCTAGTACCTTAGTTAACGCATATAGTAAACTGCCTCCACCATCCTTAAACACCTCTGGAGTCAATCCATCAGGTCCCGCAGCTTTGCCTCGTTTCAGACTAGTGACAGCTTTAGTAGCCTCAGTTAGGGACCGAGGACCTGTTTCCACATCCCATTCAGGGAAGTGTTGGATGTTCGGTAGGTTGGGCGTCGCTGTAGGTAGGCCAGTTGAATCGATCCTCAAAGTGTTCTTTCCAGCGTTCTAGTCGTCTATCCTGGGAGCTAATTACGGTTTAGCGGTGAATAATTCCCCAAAATTATTGGCCACAGCATTCATCACTGAACACTGGATGCTGACACTCACTGTTTAAGTCAACTTGTTTAGCTGAAGGCTTCCGGTCAAGCATACACGCCATTTGGTACTCCGTCGTGTCACGTTCGTTCGCTCGTGCACGATCACTGGCTAGCTAAGCAATCATCTCGCACTCCGATTTGGTCCCGAAATATATCTCTTAATTTGGAAGATCAATTATTGTGTTTTGCTTTGCCTTTGGTCTACGCGGAACGAATACTATGGAAGTTGTGAGTATTAGATCTTGCGTTAGTATACTTCGTACTATCCATGAACGTCAATACTTTCAGCTTCTAAACTGGTGAGCAATTCCGCGAACTTCATCTTTGGTATATACAAAGACAAATCTGCTGAGTTCGTTCCATTTTGCTTTTAAACTTTATATATTCCGCCATGAGTGATCATACTCCTAAGGTCATCTCTACTCGATTTACTACCGAAACCACTCAACTCGTGGCACTTTAGCCAGATAATGCGGAATCATGGTTTTGGATAGCTGAGTCTGGTTTCAGTGAACATTGGAACACTAACCAACGTTCACAGTTCATTGTAGTTGTCCACGCTCAACCTTAGGAATTAGGCAAATGTGCATATGTCGAGCCCAGAGGTAAGTAACTTGTATGAGTTTCTTAAAGCAACCCTCCTAAGGAGAAACGTTCTCACGGTCCAACAGCGTCTGGACGAATTATTTCGCAACATCGAGTAAGGTGATCGGCCAGCCGTGAGTATGATAACAAGAATGAGGGAAGTTATTGGCCAACGTCAGTTTGATGAAGGACTTTTCAGAGACCTTTTCTTATCCAAACTGCCACAGTCAATACAGGCTGTGCCGGTGACACTTCAGGGTGTTATTATAGATGACTAAGCTGTTTCTGCGAATACAATTCTAGGGTATAATCGTAGTCTAATCGCTGTCCTAACAAACCTCCTGGCATGGTAGGGCCTGCAGGAACAATAATTTCTACCATTATAGCTTGTTGAGTCGATGTCATATGCAAGCCCGTTCACCACGTCAAGGTGGCTGCCACCAGTTAGGAGCAGAAGTGGGCTCAGATCACAATCTAATTCAAGTAACCCACAGGGGGAAGCCCAAATCCACCAAAACCGCTAGAGACCGGTCAGAAACCAAGTTAAACTTTCTCAAATTGAAGGAAAAATCTACAAAGAATACTTTCACTACAGGTCAGATCAGACCAAAGTCGTAGACACCACGTGACATTACTGAGGAGACCTGTGTGGAAACAACTTCAACACTATGCCACGAAGAGCCCCAAATCTTTACCAACCTCATTCAACAGCTATATGACAATGCCACGTGTCTAGTGATCCACAACGGAAAGCTCAGCGGGGCGTTCGAAGTGAATACAAGAGTAAGACAGGGCTGCCTATTACCACCAGTGTTATTACTGATTGTGGTGGACTGGATTATGCGTCAGACTGTGCGTTGGGGGTGAGAACACAGAATACACCGGACTGATACGAAGACTAAGAAGATCTGGATTTCACGTATGGATAATTTATGTTTGATGTCACACAATCTCGAAGACTTGCAAGCGAAAAACCACAAACTGGTTGAAGAGGCTGGTAGTGAAGACAGGACTCCGGGTGAATTTTTGCTGATCGTTGATTGTCCCAGTTTATAAGAAAGAAGACAAGCCTTACTGAGATAATCCAATGAGGATCAGCTAATCAAGGCACTCTACTCGAGATAGTACAGGTGAGTAAGAGCTGATGGACTGTTGTCATACAAATGACGACCACCAGGTGTTCATCAGGGATTCACACTATCACTACTCTTATTGAATTTCACCCTATACACTGCATTGCATAAAATATACATCCGAGTTTATGAATCACTTTGTAAAACTCGCCAAATTGATTAGGATGGTTACACAATGATTTCGAAAGTTAAGCCTGGATTTTGGTTGTTGTTATTGTTGTTGCAAAATGGTGTAAACATTGTAGTGTTTTCAGCTTACACTTCAAGTGAAGCAAATTCGAAACAAATCGAATCCCTACAAATAAACTCTTGAAAAGCAATTAATGCTTGAGTATTCCATATGGCCCAAAACGCACGTATTGAAGAGAAAACCACCCGATATTATAATTCGCTTGAGAGAGGGATTTCGAAAGTAGTGTGCACACAGCTGTTCAATTGCTAAAGTTGTCATCATTCTTTTGACTGGCAATTACAAATTCATCACATTTTTAGTTAGCAGGCAGATGAACCTCAACCAGTGATAA